AACACAATTAGAGGCTTTCATCTTGGCACTCTAATTGGAAGATATGTCGTTTAAATCCAATTTAATTCTAACGTGATCCTAATGGTTAATCTTCATATTGCAATGTCACACTTGGTTTATCGAAATCAGATTCAAAATCGAGTATATACTAAAGCATAAAGTAGTAGAGAATCACACTAATAAACTTAAATAATTGAGATTAAAACCTAAGTAATTATTTCAACCAATCCATAGAGAGAGCGTGACTAAATTCTATAACCAATTTAATAAAAACTAAGCCAATCTCAAAACTAATTCATGATGAGGAGAATAAAACCATTGAATCAATTTAATTTCATTTGTAACCCTAGAATCTAGTTTTCCTATAACGCAATTACGCATTAATATATTGGAATAAGACCAGAAAAAGGGCTTTATACATCTAACATAAAGTAGTAAACAATTCACCAATAACATTCATGAGATTATAATTCAACAAATATTTCAATTCGAAAATAGAAAATGTAGGACTGTATCTATAATTAATTTAATAAAAGTAAAATCAATCTCATTAAAAATTCATGAAAAGAAACTACAAATTCTAGAGTCGTTCAACAAGGGAATACCAAAATATGCGAATAATAGATGTGAAATCACCAATTCCGAAAGACTTCCTCCCTAGCTTCACCTAAATAATAGATGAAAGAATGATGAATAATGAGGAATAATGCGTTCTAGGACGTTTTGGGGTCTTTTAGGGTTGAGAAAGCGTGCAACAATAAGTTACCATAAGTGTTTGAGTTGTAGAAGGAAAATTGAAAATTCGAGCTTTCTTTATAACTATGCGACCGCATAGTTATAGGTGCTGCAGTCGCATAGAAGGCTGGAATTGGCTACTGAAAATATCTAAAAGGTACTATGCGACCGCATAGAAATAACCATATGCAACGGCATAGCTTTAGAAGTTTCCCATAGGATAGTTTTCAGTATTTTCGTTATTATTTTCTCTCCCGATATCCGATTGAGGTGATTC